GTAATAAATATGGAGATGTTTTGTCATATATAAAAAAAGTTATAAATTTTATAAGATCTCGAGGTTTAAATCAGCGTCAATTCACTGCTTTCTTAAGTGAGTTAGATAGTGAATATTCGGGTTTGTCCTACTATACCGAGGTACGTTGGTTATCTTGCTCCAAGATTCTCAAACAATTCTGGGATTTGAAAGAAGAAATATGTCAGTTTTTTAAAAACGAAAAATCAAGACGTAAGTTTGTTTTACGATCCAATATGGATACAAGATTTATCTTTCTTGGTTGATATAACCAAACACTTAACCGATTTAAATTTATCGTTACAAGGAAAAGATCATATCATTACGAACATGTTTGACATAATTAAAGCATTCAAATGTCAACTAGTTCTTTGGGAAAAACAACTTAAAAATGAAGATTTGACGCACTTCCCGACGTGCAGCATGAACAAATCATCAAGTTTAGATGATACTTGTTCGTATCAAAAATACGCAGAAAAAATTGCAAATTTAACAACTGAATTTGAAACGAGGTTTAATGATTTTAGTTCCCTCGAAGACAAATTTTTTTTTTTTTTTTTTTGTTTTCTTCGATTTTCTCAATAAGTATTGACTCAGTAGCCATATGCAAATGGAGGTGATCGAGATTCAATGCAACTCAAATTTGAAAGCAAAATTCATTGAAGTGAGCGTGCCTGAATTTTACAAATATTTACCAGATAGGTTTGAAAATATTCGAAAATTCGCATATGAAATTATTTTCATGTTCCATCGGTGCGAGCAGTTATTTTCAGTCATGAAAGGTAATAAGTCTCCTATTAGAAACCGTATTAACGATGCTCACCTTGGGTCAGCGTTGAACAAAATTTCTCCCGAAATAGGAAAGATAATAGCAGAGAAGAGATGTCAAGTATCAGGACGTAAACATTAAATTTTTCTTGTTCTTTTTTATATAAACATATATATATATATATATATGTTTATTATTCGAAATAAATCTACGTTTCTATGAATATTGATTTTTTTTTTTTTTTTTTTTTTTTTTTTTTTTTTCGGCCCGCTTAAAGTTAAACCTTGTTTGTTTGGCCCAAGTGTACCTATGAGTTTGACATCCCTGCTCTACACACTCCCTTTTCACATCGTCATGAAACGCAGGCACTTAGCTATTTTACGAACTTAAAATAAATTTCGTGTTCCAATAAATCGATTAAATACGAATTTATTTAACAAAGGGAGCTTAACACCTTTTCAACGGGATTTTTTCTAAAAAAGTTTATTTATAAAAATGTACAGTTTATTTTTCTTTGATTTTTGGACACGTTAAACTTTCATCCTTGCGACTGCTTTTACAAAAAGAATTTTGGAAAAATAATAATATTTTGTATTTTTAAAGAATTTTTTAAATGAAGCTTCCGAGTATACTTCTCACATCTCACATCTTTAAAAATGTGATTTTGGCAACAGTCTTATTGTTGTTGATAGATTTTTGATGAAATCGCATCATTTTGAATAGTTTCATTCTTTTAGAAATATGGGTTTGGCAACAATTTTCATCGTATTTCTTATGTCACTCTTTTTAAGAGATTGGCATATTTCATTGTGATTTATATATATATAATGCATTTTTTATTGATATTTTTTAATAAAGTTGTTCTGCAGAGTAAAATTCTGCGCGGCATTTTATGTTTTTTTGAGTTGCTTTCATGTTATTTTTTGCTTATTTCACTGTTTGTAAGATATTGAAAAGTTTTGCATGATTTTTTTCCTTCAACGGAAAGTTGGTTAATTTTTTAATTAGGATAACTAATATTTGTATTAAGAGATATAGCTTATTTCATTGTAATTTTTTTCTCTTGAAAATATAAGATAAAATATCATTAATTATACTTTGCTTTTCAGAAGTTTTTGTTTTTTGTAGTCTTTTATGCTATTTATTGCACATTTCACTGTTTTTAAGATATTGAAAAGTTTTGAGTGATTTTTTAAGGAAACAAAGTTCTTAACAAAGTTCTTAAGATTTTGCAAAGGGAAGTTGGTTAATTTATTTATTAGGATAATTAATATTTGTATTAAGGGATATTGCTTATTTCATTGTAATTTTGTTATACGTAATAACTTTTTTTTATGAAGTTGTTCTGCAGAGTAAAATTCTACGCAGTTTTTTAATTTAACGTTTGGTGTTTCCTTCGGCCATTTTTCCGGTACATTTAAAAGCCAGACGAAGGCTGGCAGCGAAGCTGCTAGTATATATATATTTATATACCAGCGAACCTGCTAGTATATTCATATTTATATATCAGCGACTAAAATCTGCAACTGGGAAAGTTTTTAATTCTTACAGAGAATAAAAAAGATCTGGCTCATCATTCCTTTAAGCATCATAAAACTTTAAAATGAGTGTTAAAGAAATTTATTTTTTAGCACACGCCAGACTTTAAATTAATATTTGTTTTACATGCACAGTTTTTACAATATTGATAAACGAAAATAAAGGCTTGTAGTCTCAATAGAATGTCCCATTAATGGCGATAAACGACTTTTTGTAGCATCCAATCTTCTTGGAAAGAAATGGGGGACAGGAAACGTCGTGCAGTTCGTGGATTAGAAAAGAGGGGGACGGGGATTTTCGATCAAATTTGGCGCAGTTCGTACCCTACCTTTATTTTAAGGTCAAATGTAATAGCTCTGAACTAGGTGTGGGAATGTATATTGTATAATACATATTTCAGAAAACTGTACATTCTTTATTGTATGCGTATGATTAGTTTATAGTATTATGTTGTTTATATGTTTATTTACTGGCCTCAATATAAGATCTGATTGTGTTATCCTTGGTACTTAACCCAGCGTTGTGAAAAGAATATTAGTGTTAATATTTATTAATTAGTGTTTACTTTTGAGAACTTGCTGTGGCAAAAGGTACGAGAAATTGAAGTACTGACCCCCTTCGGAGAGGAGAAGAGTTGTAACATATACTCACCTCTGACACACAGGTAATTAATGAGAAGACCTTCCTGTTTTTCTTCAGAGACTAATAGTTAGTTAGAAATTTGAGGCAAGGTGTTGCTGAAATCCCCTGGTACGGTTTCCGGACAATAATTACCTCATTCCAGGTATTTTCCGACAATGCGTTGAATAAAACGAAAGAGAGGATATTTTGTGTGAGCTTTTTATGTAGTGAAAGACTTGGAAGTAGACGCAATCCAGCGTCGTGGCTGTATCCAGCGGCTATTGTGTGAATTTATGGCTGTAATGGTTGATTATGTTATTTATTACTAATCAAGAAATTCTTATTAAGTTTTTTAAATAAATATTTAAAATACAACAGTTCCTTTCTTTCACCCAACCCGGGTGTTCAGACATTACAGAAGTTTTATTTCAACATAAAAATTATCAGACTGAAATCACACAACTTATTGTGATATGAGAATTTCAATTTCAGACCTCAAATAATTTAAAGCTAAGTTAATTACTTCAGGCTGCTAGTGGTAAGAATTAAATATTCCAGGAATTATAAATAAACTATGAAATTTTATATTTAAAATGAGTTGTTCAAATTGGAAAAGTATTAAGAAAAAGCAAAAACTTTGCTATGAAATTATCTCGTTGTAAATTAAGATTTCATCACTATTCAAGACGTAGCTGCTCTTTTATTTCACTTGATCTCTTGGTCACGAGGCTTGCAGCAAATATTTCACTCAAGTGGCAAAGTTTTCTATTTTGCCAGACTCAGAATTAGGAAGCTGATAGCAATATACATCTTCAATAATTTATCTTCGACGTATTTAATTAGCATATTATTGTACGTAAAATGGGCAATATTCAGACATTTTCAATAATTTTGTGTGCACTTTCAGTAAAAGAATGCATGAATTTTAAAAAATGAAAAACAAATTTTTTAAAATTATATTAATGACTGTAAGTTAGAATTACATACATTTGAAAGTTGGCTATAGTATTTGCATATTAACTTATTGTTAAATAATGCATAACATATAAAATAATGAAGTGCATATAATAAATATTTTAAATTAACAAGATTTAAGGTCTGAATTGGAAATTTTAACAGTTTATAACCTAGAATCATCAATTTTAGGGATTTTATTATACAACATAAGTAAAAAATGATAATTCTTTTTTACAATTTTAAATTTATAGACATTAATTGCAGGACCTATGAAAATTTCGCTGGTAGTAATGTAATTTCAAAGATTTTGATACGCAAAAAATGTTATAAACATTATGTACTGAGGTTTGAGTATAAAAAGCAGAGATTCCATCAGGGTCAAAGCAAATTAGAGGTAACTTATGAAAAATACAAAACTACTGCTGTCAGTTAGTGGAAAAGGGGACAAACGTATCGGAAGAATTTACTTCATAAACGGCTATAAATAAAAATAAGAAAAAGATGAGAACTTCGATCATTACCTAAAACAGAGATTTCTGTGGATGTAGAAAGCTCCTATAAAATCCAGTTTATCAATTAAACGGGCAGATAATACGGTTGAAATAATTTTCCTACACTAATAACAATTTTATGTTTGTTACAAAATGTTTTCGAGCAGCAATACAGTTTTTCAAACCCTAATTTGACAAACAATATATATATATACTGGCTGAAAAATTAAAATTAGACCAGCTATTCACCAATTTAATTAAAAATGAGAGCAAAATATCAGTTTTAAATCAAAACAATGAGCAAAGCAAGAAACATTTTCAGGAAAATTACATGCAACTAAAAATGTCATTACTTATAAGGTATTACTTTACATTGGGTAAATTTGAATTTACTATAATATTGGTAAGGAAAACATCTTTCAGTGCATAATATGTGATCTGTTATGCAATGATGATAATAGATAATATAGAAATCAGACAAAATAACAAATGTAATTAATAATGTAGAATTAGACGTGCAAAGATAAGTTATGAGCGTGATGCACAGTAGTACCAAATGCAATTTGATGCACAATATTTAAACTATAAAAAAGTCAAAACAAGAATAACCATTATAATGATATCTTTATGTTATAATTTTCTTACATGTGTAATCTGTAGTCCATTGAGCACATACAGTGAATTTAACTAGAGAATTCTCAATCCACACACAAATTGGTTTGGAAATCTTCTGTAGAGTTTTAGTCAACAGAGGAAATGTAAAATCCTTTATGGCTATCTAAAGGAAGTTTCTTTTTAGTTGAAGCAGTATTTCTTGCGGCAGATGCTTTTCTTTTACTTGCAGTTTATGTAAATACACTGGCGAATTTGGAAAATTTTAAAAGTATTGCTCCTTCTTGGAGTCCCATTTCCAACTTTGATACTGTATCATCGGGGAGCTTGATTTCATAAAAGCGTTTTATATAAGTTTCTGGAAAATGAAGTTCACATTCATCATCATTCTCCGAAAGTAGTCGATCTGCCTGAGGAATTGCATGCCTCTATTTTTTCTAGCAGGAGAGGATACTGAAAAATATATTTCAACAAGTAAGCATGTAAATATCAGAAATCAATTACACACAAAAGAAAAATTTATTTGCTGTTCTTATTTTTTTAAGTTACTTTGATACAAAATCTAACATTTAATGACCAAGATTTAATTTGAAAATTTTATTGCCAAATTAAAATTTCTGGAATAGTTATACAAATTCAAATTTAAAATCCTTGTGCATGACAGTCGTCACCCTTCACTGTGCCGAAATTAAAATCTTAATTTTTAATACCCATTTATTCATATCAAGTCATATAATCTCATAATATTTTTAACTTTGTAAGATTCAAGCTAATTTAACTTTACTTCGCTGGCTAGATTTTTAATTGTAATGTGAAATGACTATTCGCTAAGTTGAAACCGTAACAATGACAAGACGTACGAAGGATGAGAAGACCCTTTTATTCAACTCAAGGAATTTACAGACTGCACTCCTGGTGCTTACAAACTTAGCCAATACTTTCGGCTACAATTCAAAATAGAAATGTAACATTAAAACTAAGTTAAATAATCGGCCGAACCTACACAGGGATAATTAACGCGAGTCGGCTTTCAGCCCTACCATCGACTTGCACAAACCAGTAGTTAATATGGCCGTCGTAAAATAGGAAGCTTAAGCCAGTGAAACAACGCCGCCGAACTGCAAAACACGCTCTGTCTAGCAAATTAGGCACCAGCTTAAATAGTATTTTTCTGCCCTACCTTTGCGTAATACTTAGCTACTTAGAATAACTGAAATATTCTGGCAGGAAATGGAAATGAGGGAAGATAGAAAAGGTAAGTAACTGGAACGAAACCTAGTTAGCTTAAAATTAAATGCATCTTTACATTCCTCCCTGCCAGAATTTAAGTAAACGAAGCAAAGGTTTTTTATAACCTTGTTGAGATTTTAAATTCTAAGCTTAAGAAGCCAACTTTTACATTCCAAAAGATTAAACCTAAACTAATATTTAAAGCAGGGCTTCTTAAACTGTGGGTCTCCTACAATTTTAGCAGTTTTGACATTTCTTTAACTTATTATAATAATTTCACAAATACCAAAAATTTTTACATAATGTATCTGAAAAAATATATAGATAAAAAAAAAAGAAAAAAGAAAATGTTTCGACGCATTCTTTTATAATAGAAACGTTCATTTTGTAGAGACATTAGATTATTTCGAAGCAGGAGATGTGAAAAATGAGCAATGTCCTCGCCGGGACTCGAACCACTAACGAATACGCGTCGAGCGTGCTGACCGCTACACCCCGAAGACATGCCAAGAAGGCAGAAGAAATACCTTATATACTCCTCCTTTTAAAGGGCGACTGGAGATTAGGGGATAGCCAAATCCTGGTGGGGTAGAATCATCATCCACCACTTTGTTAGTTCGGACGCCACTTTAGAGACATTAGGTTATTTCGAAGCAGGAGATATGAAAAATGAGCAGTGTCCTCTCAGGGACTCGAACCACGGACCTCTTGAATACGCGTCGAGCGTGCTGACCACTATACCACGAAGGCATGCTAAGAAGGCGGGAGAAATATCTTATAATTTTACTTTAAGAATTAAAGTTAATGACCTAAAGCTAGAGTAGTTAGTATATTGTAGTACAAGTTAAGAAACTTATAGTTTCACTCAGGTGTGTGTCGGATTTTTGCAATGCTTATGGTACTTTCCCTCAAAATTGGGGAAGAACTGAACTAAGTCGTATTGTCACCTATATGATACTCAAGACTCTTGCCAATGACAGGCGAAATCTTGTACTGCTTGCAATGATAAATTTCGTGGAACTGATGGATGATAAATGATAAATTTCGCTCTGCGTCAGACAAGTGAGATTAGTAACAACAACAACACATATTCTAATTATCCATTATTTATTCTATTTTATATTATTATTTATTATCTATTAATTTGTGTTCGCCGTCCCATCGGAGTTTCATAAAGCTCTTGCATAAATTAAGCTCTGTGCATAGGTGATGGGGGCTACGGAGTAACAGATTTGGGACTACTTTAATTGCAGCGCGGTGTTAAAATTTAAATGTACCTGCAAAAATTAGATATTTATGCTTGCTTCGTTGAATTGTAAGCGTCAGGTTTGTAAACTGGTACTTTGATTTCATTCAAAATCTTTTTCCATTTTCCAGTTTCAGAATTAATTGTTTCACAATAACTTTTGTGTTATTTCTTTTATATTTTAATTGCTTTCCCAATTATTAACACAATTTAGGATTATAATGATAAAATATGTTTAGGATGATGGTGAGAGGTTCATTGAAAAAAGTAATTATGCCTTTTATTTAATTGACTTTCTAGTTAAAAATACAGTAATTATAATTAAAAATTCTCATGCTAATTTTCTATTTAATGTATCTTTCAGAGATAGTTTGAATTCATTTCCCTGTAATAACTGATGAGAAAGTTGCTATTACAGCAGCTAACTGTTTGAAGTATACAAAGCAACGTAAAGAAAGAAATGAAAGGTAAGTACAATGAATATGAAAATAAATTCAAATTGAATATTTATCAACGAGTGCTAGAATTTCTTTGTGTACACGAATTTTATGTAATTTTTCGTGCAGAAGCCGTCTTTAAATATTATCATCCAAAATTTTAAGAAAACGTTTGTTTTCTTTTACTAAACTGTATGTATTATAAATTCTTATATTTGAAAGGGTCTGAGTTTGTTCTTGCAGTAAGTCTAACCATCATACAATTGTTTAATATTTATTTAAAATTTTTGTGCTTTCAATTAGTTTTAAAATAATTTAAAATATAATAAATAATTTTAAAACTCTTGTAACAGTCATTGCTCATTTAAATGCCTACAATGGCTTTAGAGTTTTTAAAATAATAATGCATATTTTATTTAATTTCAGGAGGCTGATGAAGACATTATAAGCTTATATTATGAATATATGAGTCATGTTATAAAATTCAATGAAGGCCAATTGAAAAACATATTGTATATATTTACATAATTGTTGATAAAAAATAAAATGTGTTATAAAGAGTATTAACCTCTTATTAATTAAAAACAGCTTCATAAAATATGTTAAAAGAATCATTAAAATTTTTACATGGAATGCATTAAAGTTTCGTACAGTTTTTCGAAGTGAATGGATATTTTTACATCTTTATATTTATTAATAAAAACTTTCTTACATTTATCGGAAAAATTCTAATTGTATATGATTAATTTCAACCACATAGCTTTGTTCATTGCAAATATTAGTTATACTACTCAGTATTTGAATGAAGAAATATGAGTTTTATTTGCAGAAAAAATTCTATCGATATATTGTAATGTATTTTTTAAATGCAGCAAAATATATATAAATACTAATTGAAAAAATTTATTTCAACAATATGCTGATCAGCAGAGCATTTTGATAAACGGATGTAATATTCTGTTAAATGCTCAAAGTATCCTTTGTAAATTTTCTCAGTAGTTTGAGAAAACATAAAATGAAGTTTTAGGAAATACATGGGTATATGTAGCATATTTTAAAGATGTTTATCACTTTAAAATTCTTTTACATTGATTTCTCTGATTTGAATAGGAAAATTATTCTAATAACAAACATTATACTAATTATGAATAGTATTTAAACATTGTTATGAAGGCAGTAAGTAGTAATGTATATTCTCAGAAGTGGCTACTGCAGCTTTTCCGTAACTGAGTCTTAGAAAAAATAATTATTCTAACAACTAGAATTATTAATTCATAAAGCCCACCAGCGGCCGAGCGGTAAAGTCGCTGAACACTGGTAGTTCGGTCCGAGGTTCGAATCCCGCGAACGGGCTGGCTGCATGGGTGTTTTCGTGGTTTTCCCCATGTGTAACGTGTATACGAGCCGGTTTCCCTTAGAAAGTCCTCCACGAAGGCATCCCTCCCCTTAGGCAGATAGCCCTAGTGTGCTTTGCCATAATTAAATACACCACCATTAATTCATATAAATCTGTTTTATGCTTTTACATTATAAACTGTGTTAAATTATACTGATTTTAAACTTTAACTGCTGAGATAGCAGATTATTATGCTCTATGTTCGAATGTAGTCGAGCTCCAGGACCTCTGGAGCTCGACTACATTCGAGCTAATACACGATAAAAAGGATCCCCATACTTATCTGCATTATACTGGTAAAAGTACAACCCCAGATCTGTTTGTAGGGTTTATATTTATTTTAACTAACATTTATTTTAAGTTTAAACTATCTTTCCTGTCAAGCCTTACTTTCCCCTGGAACTGCCAATGCCAGAGTATGTAAATTTTTAGTAGAACGCGCAAGGATTCAAATTATCAGCGGAAGTATTCTGAGTTAAATAGAAAGGAAACGAGTTCGAGGTGTGCTGTTCTTACTTCACGAGCGCGGAGGTAGTTAGCCAGAAATTGAAGAACCCCGCGTTTCGGCCTGTGTGCTTGCCTCGGAGAATTGTTAATCGTTCAACGTGATATTCAAAGTTTGCTGAATTAGCAGCGGTATTGTAAAACGCGGTGAGGTTAGTTACGTTTAGAGAGCCTCGTAGTTAGTCTATTTTCTTTTTCTTTTCAGGTTCTTATTTTTATTTTACCGCCGGGTCGGCGTAGTTTGTGAGCGTCAAGAGCACGCAATTGTAATTTCTTAAGTTGAATAAAAAGGGACTTAAACCCTTAGCAAGACTCTGTCTATTTTCCAGTTTCAACAGTCACCTCTTGGTTGCGTGCAGGTTGGAGGCGCGCAACTCTACATTGGCGCCCGAACACTTGTCGAACTGAAATGGCCGAAAATCGGATGGAAGCCGCTGGACAACAACCAAGAAATGGCAAGCCAATTGGAAGGATTTGGATACCTGGTCCAGACTTTGAGAGCGTCAATCAAGCCAAACGTCAATTTCGACGGAAAAAAAATTCGGTGGCGATATTTCTAGAAGGCCTAGAAAATCACTTTCAGCTCTACCCTGTGCCTGAAAGACAAAAAGTTGCCATCGCCACATCTGCACTAAGAGGACAGGCCGCGCTATGGTGGAAGAATATAGGCAAATTTTTATTAGGGGAATTTGGAAGCCAGACATATACATTTGAAAATTTCAAAAAATCGTTAGTAAAGGCCTTCCCCATAGTGAAAGATCGAGCAAGGCTGGAAGCCGAACTATATAGTTTCTATCAACGGGATATAGAAGAGTTGACGGACTTTATTCTGCGAAAAATTAAGCTGACGGATATGCTGTATGGGAAGAAACCCGACGCGGAGATTATTGAAATAATCTTACCAAGATTGTTACCTGCTGTTCAAGACTACTTCGAAATTAGAAACCCAAGCACATTGCAGGAGCTCTTCGAATTGGCGGTGAAGTTTCAAAATCGCAGAATAGCGGAAAAAGCTAGAGGGGCAACGTATTCTCAAAGTACCCGAAGGCAATCTTCAAATGAGCAAACCAGAAAGGCAAACCGCTCTTATGGGGGAAAGAGCTATCAAGCTAACTCATCGAACCTCGAAGGTCAAGGCCCAAAAAGGAAATTTGAATAAAACCGTCCGCGTACCCAGAAGGCAGAAGTTGAAAGGAAAGCTTTAAACGAGTAGAGGGGCCTGTGAAAGCGAGGATCCAGACCCCGGAAGTTTTAAAAAAACCCTCAAAAAGACATTTAAATACGGTCATCGTAAAAAACTCACATCTACCAATTATACAAGTCCTGGTTGGCGATGTACCAGTAGAAGCCCTCATCGATACAGGAGCAGAAGGTAATTTTATGAGTGAAACATTCTTCAAAAAGAATTTTTATAGGGTTACGATTATTTAAAACCAAAAATACGAAATTATAGCGGCGCAAGGAAAAACCTGTCACTGCATCGGGAAATTATCATTAAACATACAGGTAAAAGAGGAAAGCCTCAAAGTATTAATTTTTGTAGTGAAAAATCTGCAAAATCCTCTTATTTTAGGTATGGAGTTTTTTAAGGGCCGCGAGGGCCAAATTGAATTTTCAAGACAGTTCCGTGTGTGCTGGAGATGGACCAGAGGGTGGTGGAACCTGTGGAACAACCGCAAGTTGGACCTTAGCCATTTGAATGACCATGAAAGTCAAGCCATCCAGCAAGTGGTGAGTAATTTTTCTAAACTTGTTTTCAGAAAAACCTGGTAAACTGTCAAATAGTTACGCATCAGATACAGTTAACTGCCGAAAAAACCTTGTAGGACTAAACCTTATCGTTATGATAAACAAAAAGACGTAATCATCGAAGAACATATTCAGGAGATGTTAAAGAATAAAATAATAATAACGCCCATAAATAGTGAGTACGCGAGTCCAGTCGTACTATGTAGGAAAAAGAACGAGTTTCCTCCTTCGGATAAAAGGGCTTGGAGGTTTGCTATCGATTACAGAAAACTAAATAGTATTACTAAATTCCCAGTTTACCCTTTGCCGGTTATAGAGGAATTATTAGATCAAATTACAAGAAAGATTAAATCGACAATCTACAAGATCTACTACTTGGACTTAACGTCTGGCTACTATCAAATAGCTATGAGACCCGAAGACATACACATAAAACCGCGTTTATAACAAAATCGGGCACTTATGCATTTTTACGCATGCCCTTTGGGTTGTGTGGGGCCCCATCAACATTCCAGAGAGCTATGGACATTGTTCTAAAGCCTGTCCTAGGAAAATCAACTTTAATCTATCTAGATGATATAATTATAACGAGTAGTACGTTGGAACAACACATTAAAGATCTAGAAGAAGTTTTTAAATTATTAAAAGAGGCCGGTCTTACAATTAACGCCTCAAAATGCAAGTTCGCAACTAAAGAACTTAAATATCTCGGTTATAAAATTTCGCAAAAGGGTATAGAAACGCAAGATTCAAAAATAAAAGCAATCAAGAATTTCCCACCGCCCAACACCGCCAAGAAACTTTCTTCTTTCCTTGGGTTATGTTCTTACTATCGGTCTTTCATAAAAGATTTCGCTAATATTGTTGAACCACTCTTAGTAATTAAAAGAAAGAAAAGTAAATTTACGTGGACAGCGGAAGCAAATACAGCATTTGAAAGATTAAAAGAAGCGCTCATCAATGCCCCTGTTTTGAAATTCCCGGAGGGGGACGAAAACCTGGAAATTGCAGCAGATGCGTCGGACTATGCGGTGGGTGCGGTTCTTATGCAAAATAGCCATCCTCTGGCATTTTTTAGTAAAACGTTGAATCAGACACAAAGGAATTATACAGCTACAGAGAGAGAAACATTAGCCGTATTAATGGCTGTACACAAATTTCGAGTTTATTTCGGCAAAGCGCCAGTAACAGTCTTTTCGGATCATGCGGCTGTTGGTAGACTTTACTCGGGGAAAAACCTAACGCCCAGGTTAATAAGATGGGCTTTAAAACTCCAAGAATATAATCTCATAATAAAATATAAACCGGGTAAGGAAAACAATGTAGCTGACGCACTTTCTCGTATAAAACTGGACGATGAAGGAAATGAACTTAAATGCGCTGTGTTGACTTCAAAAATTTTAGATTCTAGAGATACGAATTATTACTGAACTGAAAGCTGATCCTGAATTTGGAAATATCTATGCATATTTGAAAGACCCCGAAAGCTTTGAGCACACAGATATCGATGCGATAAAGAAATAGAGCAGAAAACTATGAAATAATAGATAATTTATTATTTTATACGAAAACAACAAACGAAAATCTCGAGTACAAACCAGTCATCCCAGCCTCGCTTCGATTAAGCATTTTGAAGGAATTACACGACGCGAAAACAGCGGGTCATTTAGGGGTCAGAAAGACTTTAAAAAGGGTACGCGAGGCGGTATATTTCCCGCAATTATACAAAATAGTAACTGCGTATGTCAGGTCCTGCAATCAATGTCAGTTAATAAATGATATTAATTACAGCCCGGCCGGGTACTTAAATAGCATTCGCGCTACATTTCCGAATGAAATTTTAGGCATAGATCTTCTTGGTCCCTTTCCCCCAGAGCGAGTTAAATAAAAATCGTTTTCTTTTAGTAATTGT